TTTAATCATTGTGTAATATTTTGCTGAATTAAACATTTAARTATTACTTAAGTTGCTTCCAATTCTCCTTGATTACATACAGTCTTGTAGAAACAGACTAATAMACACAGTCTTTTCCATGTTTAGGATTATGTCCCAGGATTATTGAACAYAATACATGACTGAGGTATGGCYCTCCAATCACTGTTAAACTGGGCCCTTGAGGGAAAGATTTTGGATATAAAGACACCCTTTACTAGACCAACAGAAATGAGTCAATGAAAAATATGTGCATGTGTGAGAATGTGTGTGTGTTGCTTGTGTGCACGGTGGGGGAGGTGGGGAGATGGATATAGAGAACAATTTCCAAAGTTGCTTTTCGGCTAGTAGAGGTTAAACTTGAAATTTGGGGAAACAAATTGTGATTTGAGCAGGTGAGAAAATAAAAATGGACAGAGACCTAGAGAAATTTTGAAGCAAGGCCAGAGAAGTTGCTGGAACATGAGTTGGCTGTCTTAGCTTCTCAAAGCAAAGCGGGGAATGAGGTCTTCTGAGACAGACTGCAGGGGACAGGTGGAGCTAGAGGATGGGAGAGGGAAAGGCTGGATGGTGGCAATAATGGAGGTAGAGCAGAGCTTCCGGATGGACGCTCTGACTTGAGCTCACTACCCCTGGTCTCAGAGCTCTGAATTATCTGCAGTCTCTTGGCCTCAGCTGGTATCACATCCTTGAAAGGTGAAAGGATGGTGGGGGYGGGGGTGGGGTGGGGATCTGCTCAGATGGCTCCCCCTGTGCGGGCACCAAATCTGTAGGCTGCCTATTGTGGTCTACATCACCTCCTCTTTGGCTGTACTGAGATAACTGTAGAGACAGGCTGTCACTGTCACTGTGAAGTCAGGGCTGTCACTGTGATGTCATAACTGTCACTGCAATGCCCAGACTGTCACTATGTAGCCAGGGCTGTCACTGTCAAGTAATGCTGTCACTGTGAAGTCCGGGCTCACTGTCACAGTGTAGCCAGGGCTGTCACTGTGAAGTTTGGGCTCACCGTCACTGTGAAGTCAGGGCTCACTGTCTTCAGCTACTCTCTTGTCTGTTTTCCATTGAAAACAGGGTTTGCTTCCTCTGTCTGCCAGCCCTGCTCTCACTGAGATCACCCTGGAGCTCTGCTTAGCTAAACCCAGTGATCCAACTCATGGTCTTCTACTCCCCCTATCATCTGACCCTCCCTTCTCCTTTTTAAACAATATTTTTCAGTTGTTGATGTACCTTTATTTTATTTATTTGTATGGGGTGCTGAGAATTGAACCTAATGCCTCACACATGTTAGGCAAGAGCTCTACCACTGAGCTRCAACCCCAGCCCCCCTTCCTTCTCTTTGAGACACTTTGTTACATACATGGTTTCTAAAATACCAAACTTACCTCTTTTTTTTTGGTACCAGGGATTGAACTCAGGGGCACTCCACCACTAGGCCACATCGCCAGCCCTATTTTGTATTTTATTTAGAGATAGGTCTCACTGAGTTGCTTAGTGCTTCGCTGTTGCTGAGGCTGGCTTCGAACTCACGATCCTCCTGTGTTAGCTTCCCGAAACCTGGGATTACAGGTATGCACCACCCGCACTCTGTCTGGCTACTCCTCCTTAAGCCTCTTGCTGGTTTCTCCTCCCATCACTTAAATGTTGGTGTGCCTCAKGGCCAAGCGCCCAGGCCACTTCTCTATGTACACATTCCCTGGGTTATCTCCTCCAATGCACTGCCTTTAAGGATCATCTGCAAGTTCCGATGATGCCCACRTTTGTATAGCTGCTAAATCTTCTTAGAAGTCTAGGCTCAGAAATCCAATCACCTGTCTGATACTCCTTTTTAGAAGTCTAACAGGCAACTCAATTTTAACATGTCCAAAACTGAACTTAGGATACCATTCCCAAAAGTTCTGTCTTCCTCATCTCTTTAAACTGCCCAACATCAATCTTGTCCAAGGTCACACACACTGCCTCTGGCCTGGCCTCAGTTTAAACTTTCATTTCAAATTTAAATCATGGCAAGAGCTTCCTAACCAATCTCCAGTTGCTACCGTGGCCCACTTCAGTGTCCATCCTTGACACAGCGGTACACCAAATCCAAGTCAGTCAAATTACCCTTCTRTCAAGAAACCTCTGCTGGCTTCTCATCTCACCCAGAACAAAGGCACCTTACTCACTTCCTCTGCCCTCCCTTTGCCTCTTTCACTTGGTTTACTTGCTTCYGACCACAATGGTGTCTCCGTGGGACCTGGAACATTCCAGATAATTGACTGCCTTGGACCTTTGTACCTGCAGACCCAGCTCTATAGCTTACTTCCTGACATCCTCTTCGTCTTTATATTCCAACGTCAGATTCTCAGGGAGGTCTCCTCTGACCTCTCTATTAAAATTGCATCATCCCCTGTCCCTCGMAATTCCTATCACCATTCTCTGTTTTAGTTTTCCTCCTGGTGGTTGTCACTATCTTATAGACCTTATGTTTCACTTATGTATCTTGATCATTGTCTGTTTCCTTCATTAGAATGTAAGCTCCCTAAAGGCAGGAATTTTGCCTGTTTTTCCTCAATGCTGCATCCCTAGGATATAAAATATTTTCTGGCACATAGAATATAATTATATATAATTCTTTTTCTTTCTCTCTTTTCTCTTCACTCCTTTTTTCTTTCTTTCTTTTAGGTATAAAAACAAATGTATGACCTGAGTGTAAAGATTTTGAAATGGGGCAGGAAAAGGTTTTGAAGGAAAATTGGGGAAAGTAAAATTAGAAGGTTAAAAATAAGTGGAAAGTGAAGATACACAACAGCTTTTGGGGTATAGTCTAGATTCTAGTCATGGTTGTGTCCCCTGGTTCTACTCTGGTGGTTACCTGTAAAGATTAGATTTTAAAATTCATGGAATAGGAGAGTTACAAAAGATCTTTGAGAACACTCTCACTTTACAGATGAGGAAGTTTTTCTTCTAAGTCATGTTGGCAGGTTTTAAATTATTCATTGCAACAAAGACATGGTCCACTGAGCTCAGCTATGCTAGCATGTGACATGCACAATCCTGGAATGAGGAAGCTGGCAACCTGAGCAGGGACAAATCCTTTCATACACAAAACACCAAAACGGAACAAGGATCTTTCCTCCCAGTGTTTTTAAACAATGAGAATGTCCGTAGTTTTATTAGTCAAACACACATTCTAAGGATAAATGTCCTTTTCTGCTTATATTAACTGTTCCTAGCTATGTAACTGAAGACAATACTACTGGTGGGAAAGAATTATTGATGGGTTCAGTTCATGGGAAAATAGGCAGCCTGCAGTTTTGCTAAATGTACAAATATCCAAACACAGAGCTAAAAAAACAGCCAGAGATAAAATAGACTAGAGAATCTGTCCATCAAACTGAAAAACATTCTGTGCAAGCTATAAAGCCAAGCTTCAGACTTTTAAAAAAAAAATTTTTTTAAGTTGTAGATTGACACAATACCTTTTTTTTTTTTTTTTAATGTGGTGCTAAGAATCGAACCCAGTGCCTCAGATGTTCTAGGCAACTGYTCTACCACTGAACTACAACACCAGCGCCAAGCTTCAGTCTTTTTAATCACCATAAATATCTTTGGCAGACAAGCAAATCTTCGGCCAACTAAAGAGTTAACGGAGTTAGCATCGTTTATTTTATTTAAAAATTTACTTTTTAGGGACTGAGGATATAGTTCAATGGTAGTGTACATGCTTAGCATATGTGAGACCCAGGTTTAATCCCCACCAGCCTCTCCCCACATACAACTATTTTTCTGCCAAAGGAAGAATTATATCATAAATGTTAAAACATAGTTAATGTGTAATGATTCCAAAACTTAAATTCTTTACTCTGRGAACCATATCAGATATAATTTCAAAGCTGAAATTCTTTGAGAACTATATCAGATATAAGTCAGAGGAAGAATATTTCTGTCCATTTTAGTTTATCAGTTTATTTCTAGAAACAAAATATCAAGACATTTGGCTGGGGAGAGTAACATAAACATGTTTTCTCTTAGATTTGCATTTATGTATATTGTACTTAGGGGAATATTGAGAATCTATTCTGAGCACAGAGAACAATGGGAAAATAGGCAGCCTGTAGTTTTGCTAAATGTACAAAAATCCAAACACAGAGCTAAAAAACCAGCCAGAGATAAAATAGACCASAGAATCTGTCCATCAAACAATAAAAACGGGTTCTTCCCTTTTTTTAAAAATTAGGGACTCCAATTCATGTTTTATCATAAAATTTATCTGCAGTTAATTTTTTGTTAATTGTTTTAAGCTAAAGGGAACTAGAAAGCATTTTGGCTCTTACTTTTCAGTGAATGAGATAAGACGATGGATATTAAATAGTTATACTGAATAAATAYTGTTATTAACTGAACCATGTGTAAAAACTTAYATATTTAATTAATGACATGAGCTTCAGGTCTGAGGTAACTGGATGCAGGTGATTAATTTCTTTTTGTTTCTCATTAATTTGGAAAAACATATAAATTTAAAAYTAAACTTCCAAACATGAAGAGATTTCTGAACACAAAGATAGTTGATTCTGYTTTCCTATGTATTTTTCTTTCACTTTGCTTTAAGTTCATTCATTAATTTTTTTTTTGCATATTCACACAGACAAGAATAAACAGAATGGGGAAAATAGGAAAATGCTTTCTGAACAATTGTATTAAAAATAAAATGTAAAAACGCTCATAAAATGAGATGAAAATATAACATGGAAATCAAAGTGTGTGTTGTCTCTTATTACTTTGGCAGAATAACATATTGCTTACTCTAAATTTTTATATTTATTAAAGGGAAATACAAATGTATATACTCAGTAGGTCTAAATCCTCTCTCAGAACTCATATTCTATAATTCTATAAAACTCAAGACTGAAATTACTTTTTATTTTGTATAAAGTAAGGAAAAGAGCTGTGATATTTCTTAACAGGCTACAAGTAAAAATTATGTAAAAATATTCACTTACCAGAAGGCTGTCTTGATTTTCATGGAGCTCAGAAAGTTTTGAACTGGATTTTTGACGTTTAGGTTTGCTTCTTTCTCCAATATAATCAGAGGTGTTCTCATGTAACTTTTCTACTTCCTGAGTATTCAAGATACACTCATCGAGGCTGTTGAAACCAGAAGGAATATTTTCTTTGTTGATAAGTCCCCTTGAATTGAAGAAAAAGCAGCTTAATTTTATTTTAAAGAGTAAAGGAAGTATTTTGTAATACTGCCACTGAATCATATACACCAGATGTCTGAAGAATACCCAGAAACTTCAGTTTGCATCTTTGATCAAAATCTCAGTAGAGATCACTCCTAAGGCTTCCTGGTTCCCCAATCACATTAAAATAAATTATTCCTACAGGCATTCCTAGTGGCAAGGGCTGTTTCTGCCACAACTTTTGTATTTTACTAAAAGTAATTTGTACTCAAATAGGCAGAACAATGCAAGTTTTTAATAAAATTTCCCATTATTCATGGTAGGTGTTAATATATATAATTTTTAATATTATAAATTAATACAATGTATGGGGGAAAATCAAAAGGAAATACAATGTCTTCTCTAGAGTGGGAATATTTTATTTTTATTTTAGAATGGGAATATTGATGTTCTCAAATAATATACATTCTAGTAGAAGCAAAATATATTAATATTTAAATCTCACTGAATTAGATAATCTTGGTAGAAATCATATTTTAATAAAAGCTGCTGGGCTTGGTGGCGCAGGCCTGTAATCCTAGCGGCTCAGGAGGCTGAGGTGGGAGGATCACGAATTGAAAGCCAGCCTTAGCAAAAGTGAGGCACTAAGCAACTCAGTGAGACCCTGTTTCTAAATAAAATACAAAACAGGGCTGGGGATACGGCTCAGTGGCCTAGTGCCCCTGTGTTCAATCCCCAGTACCAAAATTAAATTTCTTAGAAATCCTTTTTTTAATTTTTGCAAATAAAAATGGAACAAATTAAACCATCAGCATAGCACCATGGCTTGGTAAGGAAGAAATGAATGAGATTTTATTCTCCCTCATAGTAAGACTGGGTTAATGTATCTAAAACTGTATCTTGAAATAAATTAATTAAAAAGTAAAAATAGATACCATATTTTACTGTCTTTTCAATCACATCTCAAAATGAAAGATAATATTAAATATTTATTCTGCAATCTAAATTCACATCCTTGGACTATAATGGAGTCAAAATTATGAATTAAATACTATCATAATATTTTCAGTTATATTATCTTGGGTAATTTTTAGCCCTAATATTTAATTTGGTCTTATTTTTTACAAGTCATCTCTCCTCTTCCTCCTCTTTCTCCTCCTCCTCCTCCTCCTTTTCCTTCTTTTTCTTCTTATTTGATAGTAGGTAGATTAAAACCAGGGTGCTTTATTACTAAGCAAAATCCCCAGTCCCTTTTATTTTTTATTTATACTGGGGATTGAACCCAGGGGTACTCAACCACTGAGCCACATCCTCAGCCCTTTTATTTTTTTATTTCAAGGCAGGGTCTTATTAAGTTACTTAGGGCCTCACTAAGTTGCYGGGGTTGGCTTTGAACTTGAGATCCTCCTGCCTCAGCTTCCCAAGTTGTTGGGATTAGAGGCATGTGTCACCATGYCCAACTCCTTTTTAACGGGGTCTGAAGTTTCTGAGGGTCTCAAAAAGATGATGATGCTGGCCTCAAATTTATAATCCTGCCTCAGCCTCCATAGTTTCTGGGATTATAGGTGTGTATCACTGCAGCTGGTTTCTTTTCTACAACTCTTAATGTGGAAGTTATACATGTTTGGCATAATTATGTAAAACATAATCTATGAGAATTACCTAAGCATAAACTAATCAAAGACAGAAAGCAAAGCTAGCAGGGACTAACGTGCAAGCACACACACCGAAAGCTCACACTCCTCCTCTGCACAATGAGAGAGCACCTTTGGTATGAGTTTGGTCTTAAACTCAGAATCACTTGTTTACTACTTAAGTTCTGTCTTCTTATCACTCTTCATGTTTTTCCTAACTTCTGGGGTATGTGTCCAGTTATAATTTTTTCATAGTGGTCCTTTCACACTTGAAGGTTGTTACAATGGATTGCATTGTGTCCCTCTCGATTCCTTTGTTGAGCTGACACCTATAATCCCAGTGACTTGGAAGGCTCCGGCAAGAGGAACACAAATTTGAGGGCATCCTTAGTAATTTAATGAGAACTCATTTCAAAATTTTAAAAAGGTTGCGTTAGGGTTGGGGAGACAGCTCAGAGGTAATGCACCCCTGGGTTCAGTTTCCAGTTCTACCAACAGAACAAAACAATTTTATGTCRAAGTCCTAATGCTCAATGTGACTGTGTTGGGAGACAAGGTTTTTCAGAAAGTAATTAGTGTCAAATGWTGGGGGACCCTAAGCTAATATGAATGCTATCCTCACATGCACAAGAAAAGACACCAGGAAAGCTGGTGCACAGGGGAAATGCACGTGAGGATACAGTGAGAAGATGGCTATCTGCAAGCCAAGGAGAGAGTTCTTGCCAGAAACCAACCCTTCTGGTACCTTGATCTTGGTCTCCCAAGCTCCTGAACTGTGGGAAAGTCCATGTCCGTTGTATAAGCCACTCAATCTGTGTATTTTGTTACAGCAGTCCAAGTGGAGTAATATTAAAGCAAAAAATTATTTTTAAAAATCAAATGAGAGTTTATTTTATAATCTTTTGGGACAGTGTCTGAAATAAATCCTTTCAAAATAAATACATGAAAATCTGATAGTGCAGTTGTGCTTATTGTGGAAATCCTGTTCTCCCCAAAGAAAAGTCTTTGTGTTCATGTGCATCAATGTGTGTCARCCATTGTGCCCATGTGGAGCATGTATACACCATTTCTTAGATTTGATGTGAACTTAGATCTTTGGGCTTCTCATTTTCATCACCTAGGTTTCACTTCCAGTTTTTAATTTTTTTCAGGGTTTCCTCCTCACTCCTACATATATATGTAATATCCTGATACTACTAAACTATTTATTATCCTGCCCAATATAGCATGCTTTCTTTTTTACTTCACAGAATTTTAGATATACTTATACATTTAATTTATTTATAGCATTTGGATTGGTTTTCTATTTCAATGTGTTTTGGAAGATTTAAACCATCTTCATTCAATTGATGCTTTGCTYTTTTGAAAAAAAATATTATTACAAATTTCTTCAGATATGCAAAGTAGAGGGATTATCACAAAAAACTTCCATTTACCCATCAACAAGATACTACAACATTTGTATTTACCTTGTAATGGCAGAATTTTTAAAATATATATTTTTTAGTTGTAGTTGGACACAATACCTTTATTTTTATGTGGTGCTGAGGATCAAACCCAGTGCCTCACACATGCTAAATGAGCATTCTATCTCTGAGCCCCAGTCCCAGGCTTCAGAATTTTTAAATAAATAAATTAACTCAACCTTTATATATAACAAATATGTTCCTTACAGTTTTATGTTTTTAGTGTAGCAAATAATATGAATCTGGTTATATTTCCTTATGAATTTAGACAAAGAACAAATCATTTGCACCAAAATGATTTTCATTATATTTTATTTTGAAATATAATCATCATTGGCTTCAAGGATACTTTTTAACTGGCTGCAGTTCTAAGTTGTGAGAGGTAAATTGAATCTCTATTTTTTGAAATGGCTTTCAATCATTCCATAAGGCTAATAGTTTTGAATAGAAAATTACAAACTCTAGCTTAATCTTTCCTTATTTTTAAAAACAAAGCCTGATGAAAAGCTTAGATAAATGAATCCATTATGTATAAACATATACTATGAATAACTCATTTACCATAAGCTATTTTTGACATTACAATTTGTATATTAATGACTCTCCTGGGGTTACTCAAGGGGACCTTCATGGTGGCATTTCAAAGTCATGAAAGGAGGAATCTGAGACCAACGTGGAAATGCTGGATGAATCAGCCAAGTGGAAAGGTATTAAAAGTAAAAAGATGAATGAAAGGAAAGAATGGAGCTAAAGGGAAAAAGGTTCAGAACAAGAGCCTTGGGCCAAGGAAAGTCAGAGAAAGGATGAAGGAGAGGGGGCAAGAGGAAAGGACTATGGGTCTGGGTCAAAGCTGGGTCAGGGGCTGGCACGGTGGCACATGCCAGTAGTCCCAGAGATTTGTGAGGGTGAGGTGGGAGATGCAAGTTCAAGTGTAGCCTCAGCAACTTAGCAAGACACTGCATCAAATAAACAAACAAATAAATAAATAAGGGCTCTGGGGAAAAGTACCTGAGCTAAATCCCTAGTCCCTCTCACCCCCAATACACAAAGCTGGGTTGGGCAAAATTGTAGCTCTGGGTCATACAAATGAGCTTTGCTCCTTGAGGACCTGGGGAGCTGAAAGAAGGCATTGGAGGTGGGCTTGATGGTTAACTATTCACATTTGATATGACCTAGTGGGTTAGCTGGGATGGTTGGGTATTTCACGGTGACAAGGGAGTTACAAATAAGGAGCACTGGAAAGGGACTTCTGCATGCCTAGTCCATGGAAAAAGACTATGGTGGGATTGTTTGTAAGTTAGCTTGGTTATAGACAGTACCCCAATAGTATATAGATATCTATCCCCCAAGATTCTCTTATTCAGTGTTCAGTTGTGACTTAACCGGGACCAGGGACCAAAATGAGCAGTGGAGGAAAAAACCAGAGAACAATTGAGGGTGGGATTGGAGTTCTGTGGGCGTGRTCTGCAGATGATCAGCCTCTACCACTCTCCATCTCCTTTGGTTCCTCCAAGTTGCTAATTAAATACAATACAGATAACTTCAGCAAAAAATGTCAGCCCATGGACTTGGGAAATTATATTTAAATTCAGACATATTTAAATGTCTCATATTTCTTGGCCCTGTCTGGCCCCTGCCCGTTTTTGACCTTATCCCCACTGTTCACCATCTGCTGCCACCAACCACCCACATCACCCTGTTCTTGCTATCTGCACACTACCACTTCCCACCCCTACTTGCTTTCCTTCTGTCCAAAGAGGGTGGAAAGCAAGATGTCATATACATCGAGGATATTTTAAAAATGCAAAGTGTTGCTACATACTATTCAGCAAAAAACAAGGCAGAGGGTAAGAAGAGTGGTAAATGAATAATTCATACTTGCTGTATAATAAAACATAGGCAGAACACTAATTATATGCCTAACACTTTCTATAAAACTCAGTCAGTAGCCAATTTTAAATGCTATAGTTTTTCTATTTTCTAAGTGGAAGGTTACAAACACCCCTCCTATCCACCAGCTCTAAGACAAATGTTTTCTTTAAAAAAAGTACAGTATAAGTAACTGGTAAAGTTAATGGGTTTTTATCATTAATAATGCTTTATTTCTGAGATTACATTTGTTAATATAGATCTTAGCATCTCAATGCTATACTGCATGGAATTTATTTATCTTTTTGGTTTTCTTTAAGCCAATAGAAGTTTTGTTTTGTTTTGTTTTGTTTTTGCCTAACAAATATTTTGATGAAGACTATGATTCAGGTGAAAAAAAAAATGAGGGGAACTTAGGTTTTGTTTAGTTTTTGACTTTAGTAAGGAATTTAAAACAGTAACAGTGATAAAAATAATCTTAGAACTTTCAGGAAGAATCTGAATATAATCTATTATCTGTGTAAAATTATTTTTCTTGTGAATTTAAATTGTGATTATTAAATAATTTGAATGGTAGTTGTTCATCTGTATTTTTACATTGAATCTTTTAAAAAATTTTTTTCTCTTTATTTTTTAATTAAGATTTACTAACGTGCTTATTAACAGAATTTTATGCATCCCACCAAAACAAACATGCAGAAATAGTGTTCCTCCCATTTGAGTGCTTATATAACCAAAATAGATTTTCAAATCATTTTTTCTTATAGTAATTACCCTAAAAAATCATCAATGTAAGTGCTGTGAAAAAGTAAAATTTGAGGGGGAAAAAACCTTTTTGCTTATTTACTATTAAAAGAAAGATTGATTCAACTGAAGGAAACAGTTCCTTAATTTTGCTCAGTCATGGAAGTAACCCTGAATTTAGCATCTCAGTGATTATCTGCCCAATTGTATGGAAGGTGGGGTGAGTGAGAATCACCCTCTGTTGGTCAGGAGTTGACCAGCCTGGGAGATTATGGTGGGAATCTAGGTTGCCCTTTGTGTAACCAGCAGAAGTGATCTGTCTTAAGGGTATGAAAGAAGAACAGGACTTAGATAAAACTTATTAGAAGTGAAAGAAGGTTTCCTTGTTCCTGGTCAATATAGTCCATTTTATGTGCCAAAAGTGCTCACCAATAGTTCACTCTTGGACATTCAAGAGTGCTCATAGCCAGGCATGGTGGTGCATGCTGTACTCTCAGCAGCTAGGGAGGCTGAAGCAGAAGGATGATGAGTTCAAAGCCAGTCTTTGCAACTTAGTGAGGCTCTAAGCAACTAATGAGAACCTGTCTCAAAATAAAATATAAAAAGGGCTGGGGATGTGGCTCAGTGGTTAAACACCTCGGGGTTCAATCCCTGGTATCAAAACAAGAAGAAGAAAACCAGAGTGCTCATGTTAGGATCTCAAAGAACCCATGAGAAGTCTTCTTGGGATAGTATACTTTTTTTTTTTTTTTTTTTAAACCAGAAATTGAACCTTGGGATGCTCAACCACTGAGACATATCCTTATGTTTTTTATATTTTATTTAGAGACAGGGTGTCACTGAGTTGCTTAGCACCTTGCTGTTGCTGAGGCTGGCTTTGGACTCACAATCCTCCTGCCTCAGCCTCCTGAGCCGTTGGGATTATAGGTGTGTGCTACTGCGCCTGGAGCTTATCACTTTTTTTGTATAGTGAAGGCTTTGGAAATTGTGATCCTCATCCATCTTTTTAAAATGAGGTGATACTCAACTAAAGAAAATAAAATATATGGGACATTTTCATAAGGTATATCCTAGTGCCCTAAGCCTTTGTTGTATTACTATTCTAAGAGTTCATCAGAATATTGACCCTTAATACCCTGAAGATTTTGGTTGAAGTGTTAGAAGATGAAACAGAAAGAGGACAAGAGTCTTAGCGACAAAAATGGAGCTTTTTTGTGGCCATTTCTATCAGTCCTTCATAGGAAACGCTGGGAGATTTGACTTGAAATGATCTGTTCATTTGTCATCCTGAGGGTCCTTTCTGTTCAGTCATCTTGACTCCTCCCTTTCTGCTTCTGGGGTCAACCCAGGTCCAGAAGTTCAATGGGCGACCTTGTGGGCATCCTCCATCTTTTGGGGGGCAGGTACCGGGTTACCGTGGCCACTGCCTGTGTGCTTTACCTCTGCTCTATATCAAAACCTTTAATGGAGATTAAAACTCCTTGTAATACCCTTCTGAAATGCGTACTGTGAGAATGCCTTAAAGTTAGTCATTAAAATTAGAAAGAAGTTCAGCTTTTTGTCTTTTGATTTGACTTAAACTCAATCTTTCTTACACTAAAGCATAACCAAGTGTCAGACTATTTCAGTGAGATTCTTGTATTAATCAGCTCAATATCCTGGTTCATCTTCTGGTTAATAAACTAGTCTAACAGTCAACTTAATGTTGACTAACGAGGAAATAAAAATGCCTCTGGACAGGCATATGTCCAGTTTCTCCTCCCACGGCTCAGGATCTCTCTAAATAAGACATTCCAGAGGAAGATGTGAAAACGAATTAAATCAGAGGTGGTTTCCCACAACGCACAGAACATCTAGAAGAAACAGGTATTTATTCAGTCGCCTATGAATTTCTAAATGTGAACTAAGTTTAGAATGGTCAAAATGAAAACTTTGAAAGTGTTAACCTAAATACTGAAAAGGGAGAGAAGCGAGAGGAGTGACTGGAATATAGCAACTCATTCGGCTGTGTGTCTTTGAAAGAAGAAGAGAAAACTCAAGCAAAAAGAAGCATCAGCGTCAACTTACTTATCTCTACAACAACGAACTTCATCCTGCTCCTTGGATTGGCGTCGTCGCTGTCTGGCGGAGCTGGAAGAAGATGCTGAAGAGGTTCCAGATTCTGAGTCCTCTGAACTTTGACCTCCAGAGCCGTTAACATCAAAAAGATGCTGTTCCACAGCTGACCGGATGGTTCTCTCTAAGAGTCTGATTAAAAAAACATATAATTTCAATCAGGCAATCAAGTTTATCATTGATTTCTTTTAAAAACACATGCCTGTACTTTTGGAAACATCTTTTTCCAATGGAAGGCCTTTCATACTTCATGAATGAAGACAGAGTATGCATGACACTTGAATCAAACAATACTTGCAGCATGTACTTAAAACAAAATTGAACAATTTCCAGCACTTTAATAACTGTGTTTCTCATTTTTAGGATCTTGGATTATTGATATGCTCATGTCCAGCAACAATTAAAAGTTATTCAGGAAATAAGTGTCATTTAATAAAAGGCAGAATGAGGAAAGATTTTTTTCCCTTGTAGAATAATAATGGACCTATTTCTCTAAAGGCAAGTTTCCTTTGGATTTCATACCAGTTCTGCAGATGACGATAATATGATTTATAAGGCAAACTGGCACAAATAATGTTAGGATACCTTTTATATATATTATATACTTAGAATCCTTTTAAGATAAAATTATACAGGGAACAACGATATTTGGAAAGAAAACAAACAAACAAACCCAGCTCATAAGAACAATTACAGCTCATAAGACATAATCTTTCCTAACCTCTAATTGGATAAATTATGCTGTATAAAATTGACGCTGCATTCATACAAACACACTCCACAATATATTATTCAAGTTGGAAGGGTAGATTTACTTGTTTGACCTGGGAAAAACAAGTAAATACAAAAGGCTGAAAAGAATGCATGAGTAAATATAAATGGTTTTTATTTTTAAAGCTATAGAATCTTTCAGTGTGTCTAAACATTCTTTTATAACCATGCTATTTAATTTTGAATAAGATGCCATGGAAAATTCTCAACTTATACTCCTTGAAGCATGTTTTTCTTCCCTTACAGAAGAATCACACAGATGTTTTTTAAATGCTTAAACTTAGAAGAAACATTCTCTAAAATAAAATAGCATTTTGAGAATTTAAGATTTTCCAAATGTAGTTTTATAAAGGACTCATTTGTTTCATTCAACTTTTATTATGACTATTTTAAGACAGTGAGTAAGTAGAGTCTAAATTAATTTGGGCAATAGAACTATTTTACTTTATTTTATCTGTGTCCCAAATGACAGATTACCTAATGTGTTATGAAGGGATGTGAGTAAATTAATATGTACACACAGACCAACTTATATTTTTCTAAACTGTATTAGACATATAAGTAGGAAAGGATTTTAGGAAACAAAAAGAGCAAGAACATGTCAATCTTGGTATAGTTTTGGGATCTCTTTAAAATTGATAGACCTGAGGGAAGTCAATCCTGCCCTTTGCTTGCTTCTTCACCCGACAGGGAGGAACATAAATCCAGATCCATCCCGTTAGGCCCCGATTCATTCTAATTAATGCTTCTTCTAATTCTTCTCTCCTTCCCTATTATATCGCATCTTTCCCACCTACCACACCTGATCCTTGCCAAGGAGGGACACTTCAAGAAGGCCTGCACGTGTTCCAGCAAGAAAAGAAGAGAATCTGGGTCCAGTGGCCATGCCTGTAATCCCTGTGGCTTGGGAGGCTGAGGCAGGAGGATTTTGACTTCAAAGCCAGCTTCAGGAACTTAATTAAGCAACTCAGTGAGACCCAGTCTCTAAATAAAATATAAAAAAGGGCTGGGGATATAGCTCAATAATTAAGTACCCCTTGATTTAATTTCCAGTTTAAAAAAAAAAAAAAAAGGAAGAGAGAGAGAGAGAGAGAGATGTGAGGGGAAAGGTCTTTGGGCCAGGAGCCTTTCATTCAGTCATTTGACAAACACTGCATTGGGTCCTAATAAATGCCACACGCTATTCTTGGTGTTAGGGAGTTTGCAATGAACACAACAGGCAAGGTCTTGTGTTGATGGAGCTTAAATTCTCATAAGGCAAGAGAGATAACAAATACAACAATGTAATGTCAAATAGTGGAAAATTCTCTAAACCAAAGGTTGAAGAGTGAGGACAAGTAACCAGGGATTCCCAGATGAAATGACATTCGCACAAAAAGTGAATAAGACAGTGCTGGCCAGAGAGAGAAACAGCCAGTGCAGAGACTCTGAGCCAGACATAAGCTGGCCTACTCCAGCAACAGGTTGGGTGGCTGAAGCATACAGAACAGCGTGGTCAGAGGGACCCCAGGGCCAAAACCTGAGGTTAGGATTTAATCAAAGTGAAGTGGAAGCCCTTGGAGGAAACAGACATCCTCGGAAATCAGGAGTGGAGCACCACCTCTGTCCTGTGGAGAAAGACTTGCTGCCATCACTAATTTGCTTCATTTTTTTTTCATCCCTGTAAAAAAGGACTATAAAATTCTTGCAGTCAGAGCCCAAGGTTTACCTGACATTACACCTCTAACTCTGCGCTTGGCATATTCCATACGCTCAGTAAATGGAGGCACAATAAAATGAACATAGGAAGTAAACACATGGTTAATATTTCAACCTTTAACTACATTCTCCATGGCAAGATGCCCCCAGAGCACCTAGACTCCTTTGCAAATATTAATTGACCCTGACATTATTTTTCACAAAGTAAACAAAAAGTTGGTGGTTCGAAATGGTGGCATTCTCTAGTCGCACACAGGACCTTATGCAGGAAGCACCGTGGTCCTGTCCTCTGCATTCAGGTGGCTTAAGAATCATCATGTATGAATATACCACAGTGAATTCCACCTTTATGTACATCTATAAAGCACCAGTTAAAAACAAATAAATAGAAGGAAGACCAGTAGAGGAAGGGGTCTGGGGGAGGGAGGAAGGAAAGGAAAAGGAAAGTTCTGGGAATGAAATGGAGGAAACTATATTCCATGCCTGTGTGATTATGTCAAAATGAACCCTACTGTATCACTATAATGCACCAATAAAAAACAAGCGGTACAAAAACCACTGGTTGACTATCATTTTCATAGTTCAATACTGTACAATTTTGAATTGCTTTTTTTCTGTTTAATAAATGGGAATGGGTAATTAAAAAAAAAAAAAAAAAACAAAAAACCCCAAACACAAAAACTCAACCCAAAGAACTTACTCTCCAGTGGTTGAAACACTGCTGACTTGGGACACATGAGCACTGTGGAGAAGAAGCAAAGAGAGAAGTCAGGTTAGATGAGGGATCACAGACGGTAAGCCAAGAATCTGAAGGGGATCCCAGGCTGGGAGAATCAGCCAGGTTCTGAGCGACCCTTGCACTGTGTTTAACCCTCCCTTGCCAGGTGCTCATTTTCTTGCATTTCTAGAAATAGAGAGGGCCCCAGTTGTCTCTTCCTCAACAGTGGCCTCTCGCCTTTTTAGACATGTCCACAGCAACAGTTTCATAACAGATCTTGGAAAATGATCTTTTCACTCACCTCCTACTTCCAAAGTCCTGGCTTAGGGGCTTTTCCTTTTCCTAAAATGTTAATGAAATTGTTACCTACTGCCTTCCTGAGACCTATCCCACAGATTTCCTGCTCTCCCAGGTCAAATCCATCTCCTCCTGGTCCCCAGGCCAGCAGATAGAAGCATCCATCATCTCAAACTCTGTAAGGTTCATCTTAACAGATGATTTACAGCCTTTTTTGTTGAGCATTTATAAACTTTCTCTACATTCTCATTTTTCCAAAGATTGAATACTTTCAAAAGAGTTAAAAAGTGGTCAGCATAAAGCAGAGAGTAACAGAATTATTCAATATGACTGACAGCTTCAGAACTTTCTCCCTCATGCAGGCCACATGCACCTACCCACAGCGAGGGCTGAGGCCTATGGCCATTTTAAAGGTATTCATACCATGAGTTTCTTCCATTCTGCCCTCTAATGCTTCCAAATCAAGAACTGTGCTTTTTAAAAAGAGGTTAAATAAGAAGGTAGAAAACAAAACAAAACAAAAAACCCACAAAAATGTTAGTTATGTTAAATGTCAATTTTACCTAGCAGTTCTCTCCCTTTCTCTTCCTTCCATCAAAGCCGTTAATGGTCAATATTGATAATTTTCTTTCAGCTACTCCTAATACCCTAATTTACAYTGTATAATTTTCAACACATGAACATGTTGCTTTCGAATCATCTGTTAGTTTTTTCTCCCATGTAAGTCTATAGCCTGTCTCTTTCAATTCTGAATCAAAGTGCCTCAAGGGATTATGATATTTTTCCTTTTCTTTCATCATACTCCCTAGCATGGCCACCACCTCACAGCAGGTACAGGACTCATTATCCCAGAGGTGATCAGCAAACACACATTGGCCACACAGAATTTTCTGCAGCTCTTTGTTATGGTCGCCGAGGGAAAACCATGAAAACAAGCTACTGTGCAAAAGAACACTGATGTGAAGAATAATAAAGTAAACATGTAAAAATATAAATAAAATGCCCTAAAACTTACTGAATACATACTATGCTTCAGATTCTGTGCTAAGTTCTTTTTACATAGATTTCCTCAGGGTTTACAACAGCCCTATGAGGTAGATGTTATTGTTTTCTTTGTTATTAAAGAATTTAAAGAGATTGAGTAAGTTGGCCATAGAGCCAAGAAATAGATGAGCTACAATTTGAACCCAGTAAGTTTTAGCTCAGCTCTTTAGCTCTTAATCACTACACTACACTAGACTGTCTTTTAATCCATTACTCACTAGGGAAAAAACTCACTGGAGTCATCTTTGTCTATGAAGACATGGAGATAGTATTTTATTTTGCTTTTAATCACAATCATTTCTCCTCTGCTTCATGATGGCTGTTATTCAGAATGGTTCCCAGGCTACATAACCAACAGTAAATCCTTTGCTGCTCTCTGTCCTTAGCTGGAACAGGCAGTCCCTGCTTTTGATGTTTTGTGGTTCACCCTCTGTAAATCCAACCCTGTATAATTAACTCTTATACTCCACTTCTCACTACAGTTACACAATCTTGGTTTTGGGAGCAGGGACCAATGTTAAGAACGACTCAGGGGGAAACCTAGAAGAGGAGAAGGAATGTAGATTTGCCAGATGCTAAAAACATTCCAAAGACAAATTGTTAGCCAGTTAGCCCCCCAAGCCATCCCAGAATGAAGAGATGTACTTCTCCTCCCTTTCACACATTTTTAAAAATCTTTTTTTTTATTGATTAAAAAAAAAAAAACACGACCGCGGAATGCTTTACAATTCTTATTACACATATAAACCACAATTTTCATATCTCTGTTTGTACATAAAGTATGTTGACACCCAATTCGTCACACATTTTTTTAAAGATTTTTTTTGTAGTTGTAGATGGACAGAATGCCTTTATTTTATTTGTTTATTTTTATGTGGTGCTGAGAATTGAACCCAGTGCCTCACGCATGCTAGGCAAGTGCTCTGCCACTGAGCTCCAGCTCCAGCCACCTTTTCACACATTTTTGACTTGTGCTTCTTTCCACATGTATATGTGTGTGTGTGTGTGTGTGTGTGTATACTGTATGTGTCTCTACATATGTAAGATCCGTGCAAATATGTGCCTATGTATAGTATAAACACACATACATATATTTTGCCTTCATATACATATATATCTATATGTCAAAGGGATATAAAAAACATATAAAAATGTTTATATGTGTGTACATGTATACATGCACACACACACACACACACACACACACACATTTGAGTTGCTGGGGATCAAACTCGGGGCCTCACATATGCTGGCCAAGTACTCTGTCTACCAATGAGCCACATTCCCAGCCAGGTTCTGCATTTTTAATAAATTCGCCAGTGATCCTGCTGTTGTGGGTTTTGTAGAAGACACCTTGAATAGCAAGACTTATATCCTTGCAAGTAAAATTCTTTAAAACTTTAATTACTTAGGTATCACATGGCTATTTTAAAACTTTCTAATCTAAGTGTTAAAAGTATGATATAAAAAATTCATGCTAGCAGTAGTGAATAAAGTCAACACATTAAAATTTCCTTTACAGCTTAAAAGAAAAATGATCTGAGCAATCTATATCAGTCATAAGAAGTCTTTCACAAAATACAAAAGTAAATAAATAAATCAATAATAAAACCAAAAATTAAATCATATTCATTTTTTCTAGCATATTTATTTTAGGTCAGATGTATAATTAATTTATATTTTTATGTTTTTAAATAGTACTTAAAATATAAATTGATGTTTTTAATAGTATTTTGGTATTTCCAGTTTATGTATTTCATTTTTCTTATTTTAGAAATTAAGAGAAGAGAATACTTTACATTGGGAATCAGAAAAACTTTTGGTCTTAGCTCTGCAGTTAATTGGCTGAAATCATAGGCAGGTTGTTGGTTAGCCTGGCTGCTTTGGGTTGGTTTCTTCATACAGAAAATGAAAGGCCTGGCTAGGGAATCTCTGTGGTTTTTGTTTAGCTCTAAAAGTTTATAGCACTATCTCAAATTCAAGTTTATTGTCCTAAAGTTTAGATCATTACGAAAGACTAAACTGCATATTTAATTTTATGACTATATTAGTCAAATTTATGGCTTATGAGATGCCAAAATGACTTTGGTTAGGTATCCAACCACCTCCGTAATTCCTGTGGGATGTGTTTTATAACAATTCACCAACAACAAGATTTCTAAGAAAATTTAATGACAGCAATAAGGATAAGGATTTCTTCCATAGCTATAGTTGCCTCATGAAGAAAACTCCAAGACACAAACAAAAAAAGCAAAAGCATTTCAATTATAAGCTAAAGTGAAGGTTTCCTTCCTCCATGGGTAGCTTGTTTTTTATCCTCTGTGTGCAATAAGAATACATTTTTCAGAACCTTTGACTGACTTGCTAAGAAAATTTCTTTCTTACTCATTGTAAACATGGATATGGAAGGGCTCATTTCCTAATGTTGATAAAGCAAGTATCAAAAATTGAAAGTAGTAGGTTCATATGTAAACCCCAGCGTTACGGCCAATTTCATTACCCAGGCCTACTGTTACAGATGAAGCAACTGAATACTGTTTTGGTATGGTCATTTAAAATAGTCTAGGCTGACTCTGAAATATGTTCTAGGATATAAATATCTTCAGTCTTTATTTCTATTAGCAAAACTCAACCTCCAATTCCTTAAACCAATTTCGCTTAGTAACACTGGTCTCTTAAATCTGCATGTGGTAAAATGCACAGATGCCTGTTGACGAATGATTCCTTAAATAGATCTCTTGATTTGAAATGGAGAAACATACACACAAAAGGAAATAAGTTTCAAATCTACAAAAACAAGATATCTTGAAAAGGCATGTATTCTGTGTATCCTCTTCTATGGCCTGTAAAATCTGCCTATAAATACTGCTGTTTTAATAGAAATCAATAGGGTCTAATGGAATCATTTCTCACTAATATAACATTTATGCTTACTTGAGTAAGAATTGGAAAGACAATTATTTGGGATTTGTTTAAATAAGCAAACATAAGTTACATCAAAATAACATGAAACTCTTAATTTCCCAGATTTAACAAAAAAAAAAAGTATTCTTAGTATCATCTTAAAATACTGAAAGTTGATAGACAGTGTCAACATTGTAGAGGACTGTAAAATTTATTTGTAACTGTATAATGACTTTCAAAATTTTTTCATGATTTTAGTTCATTTAGATTATTTTACATTAAAACAAACAGACTTAATGTTAAATATTTATTTATTCCTTTTGCTTTAACATTTAGCTATGATTATCATGCAGAAAGTTAACGGAATATTTATAGCGTTTCAACTTGGATAATATTAACCATCTTTTGTGAAATATTTTTGAATTTTATTTAAATTTTTAAAAAAATTTTTTTGATACTGGGGTTGAGCCCAGGAGCACTTTGCCACTGAGCTTCATTACCAATCCTCTTTCTGTTTTTTTATTCTTGAAACAGTTTTGCTAAGTTGCCAAGGTTGGCCTTGAATTTGTGATCCTTCTCTCTCAGCCTCTAGAGTACCGGGTACACTTTGGTTTTAAATTATATACTATATATACATAATATACCAGAACATAAATTGAAAACATACTACATAGATATGACTTCAAGAAGAAGATATTCTTATACTTTCACTAACTTTACACTTACAATTCTAATTATTAGTAGTATTCCCCTTTTCCCCTTAAATTTACCAGGAGTGT